AACCATGCCAAGATTGGCTCCTCCTGCCACAGGCACTCCACCACTACTCCAGCATGCTATGTCCTCAGATGCCTTCACATCATGCCCGATGGCAAACTATCATGCCTCCAGCTCCATGTTTCCAGAATAGCATTGCTGTGGGCTGTATTATTTTTGGCGCTTAGAACCAAAGAACCACACACATGTAAACCAAAGAGTACGTGAGGGCCAAAGAAAAATACCATGAGCCAAAGGCAATGCTGTGTTGTCACAGCATATCTGCTCCAGATGGTCAGAGGGCCTTCATTCCCTGTCACAGTACACAAAAACGGTATAGACTTTTGTCTATACTGGTTTTATTAATAGACAGAGAGAGAAGCAAATTAACTAAATAAATCATGAAACACATCAAAGGGAGAGAGAAAAAAATACAAGGAAGGAAGTATGGAAGAAAATAATTATGTTTTGGTTCTTTACATTAGTCTTCATGCAATAGTTTAGAAGCCAGAATAATTATCTGTTCACAATGGCAAAATAATGAAATAGCCAGTAAAAGTTTTAGAACACAGTATTTACCAATTGGGTATTTTAATAATACTAACTTTAAACAGATAATGAACTTTGAACTAATCATAAAGATCATGAAACGTTCATAAATTGCTACTGAGGAAACCCAATACCTTGTGAGAAAAATGGTAAATATTTAATTAATAGTTAATTAAATCTTAGGAGTCCAATTACCTGTAAAGGAATTATAAAGGAAACACTGTAAAAGAAACTGGTAGCCAAAGAGAGAGAACTTTAAAAACATGTCTGTGCAGAAATACTTACCAATCTGCTATGCAACTGAATGTCAATAATTTATCCTACTCATTTAAATATGCATGTCTTTTTCCCAGTGTATTTTAAGCCATTTCATTCCATAGAATCAAATTCTGAGGTTTCCCCAAATCCAAAACAGATGGAAGATAATGAGGAAAAAACAGAAAGTCAAAGCATAATTATGATTTTTAGCACGCTTTTAGGGATGAACAATTTGTCAAGCTGCGCTCTTGACAAAGAATTCACAAGATATGGGAAGCCATTTCTCTGCTAGTGCTTACAGCGTAACTAACACCAATAATAATCATCTAAATAATTGACATACTAGGGTCAAATTATCCCAGCATCAAGTCTGGACAGAAAAATAAGTCATTCTTCTTGATAAATACCTCCTAGAAATATCATTTTGTTATTAAATAATTTGGTAGTGTAGAAATGTTAGATATTTCTAATAGCTAGATTTTTAAATCATTACCATTCATTGATTTGAGATACACTATGATAATATAAGCCAGGTGAGAATATTTCTTTTGCATACCTTTACAGAGATGTTACCACTGCCTTCAAATGAGCTTTCCCATTAAATAAAAATGCACTGAACACACTGAAGCCTATGTACAAAGATAGGAACACATATATAGTATTTTTAAAGATCTTTTCAAAAAGCAGTTTGCATTTTTAGTACTAATTCTTTTAAATTCATGACACTTCTACTTCTTGTTAGTATTGGGTTTCAGTCCTTCTCTTAGTTTTCAAGCTACTGAAGAATGCATGCAGTGTGGTCTCTTCCCTACCAATGGTTTTATTTAAGTATTTATATAATACTTCAATTAACAGTGTAATATTCTTGCCATTTTTCCACACACACCTTTAATTCCTTCAAAAATGGACACCTTTCTTGTGTTTCTTAATACCTCTCTGCATACAATGACTTTTCTAAAATAATTGTGAAAAGTTCAGTAATCTTACTAATTTCTGAAAGGCTCTAACTTGTGTATTCAAATTTTCCAAGTGACTCTTTCCTCAATGTAAGACAGTTTTCAATCACTTCTAATCACGCATTTTTCTATTCTTGCTTATCCCCCTCATCAATTTAAAAAGCAAGGCATACTTGATTTAGTCTACTTTTAATTAAAGGGCCTCTTTCCTTATACGTTTTTCCTGATAATATTAGAAGTAACTTCTAGTGCTTTTGGCTTCTCCTACACTATCCTCCTACTCTTATGTTCTCTACAGAAAATGCGTGGCTAGTTCTATAGATTTTCCTTGAGTACTTTTCACTTCCAGCATCTTCTGGAAGTCCTTCTTTCCCCCTGGTATTTTTTAATAATTAGACATAAAGTGCACAGGGTTCATTTTACATATTTTTAATGTGTTATATGAATATTTTTTTTTAAGGTTTTTTTTTTTGCATATTGAGTTGAAATAGTTCACAATCTACAAACAACAAATCCTCTTTTCATATTACCAACATTTCCTCCCTGGTCAGAGAAAGTAAATGCTCCTTGATATGTACAGTGGTTTCTACTCAGCACCAGGAGACTAAGAAAAGCAAGAAGTAAATGAAATAGACAGGAATATGTTAGGAAAAGGGAGACAATCATGCTGTGCTGCAGTTAGGATAAAAGCCAACAAATAAGTTTGCCTAAAAGTAGCAAACTGCCTGATGAAGAAAGCAGTAATACAGGTTCTGCTACGAAGGTGTCTGGACTAACAGGTCACAAAATATACAGGACAATATGTCTCTAGCAACAAATGAACTCTGAAACTACAGCAAAAAGAAAATAAAATACAAATTCAAATAATGAATCATCTTTTCAACTAGTGAAGTTCCCCGAAAGTACACATTTGTCATCCACGGTATGACATGGTAGGATGCCAGTTGCTTACCTTAAACATGTATTCATAAAGAAAGATTATCTTGCTGTTTTTCTGTATGCTTACTCAGAAGTAAGACATGCTTCCATAAATTTCATTGTCATTAGTACTTGAAAACACTTGTAATATGCAAAGGCACTCTTTCAGGCAATCCCAAGAGGTTGTAACACTTTAAAAAAAATGCTACTAATCCAAGTATCAGAATCCTCTCCTTAACTCCAACTGTCTACATATGCTCATAATTCTCACTTTTGACCTCTGTTAGATTTTGATCTTTCTTATTATTCGTACATCTGCCCAGACACTGATGGACCTTTTAAGGAACCACAGCTGTATTTGACCAAATGATCTCTGAGCCGGTAAGAATACATCAGCTGCTCAATTTTCATCAGAAGAGATCTGATGCCCTGCTAATTGCAGAACTTTATTTTGAATATTATGTAATATGCATACTCATTTGCTAAGTCATCTGTGTTTCTTCACCAATGACTAGTATCATAAAGTAACTGAAAGGTCTTTATCTTTTCCTTGCCAAAAGTTCTCTCCTTAAAAATATCATATAAAAGAAACTAGAACACTGTCCATCATTCTTGTCACTGATGTGCATGTGGAACATTTACAATGTCCAAGCACTGTTTAGATTACTCTCCACTGCTGACACCTTGCATTTCTTTCTCAAAGTACTAAGGCTGCTTGCATCTCTGTTTAGTCACTTATTTTCTTCTGATTAGAGATGAGTCATACAATCTGGGTCTAGATTGTTTTTTTAAAAATCAAACTACCCTTCAGTTACCAAGAGCAGTACCTCTTTCTATAGTATATAATTACTTGTTTTCTCAACCTTGTTTGTAACGATAGGATTTGTCTTACCTAACTTTACCCAGCTAAATGTTATTTGCACTATCTTAAAATAGGCATCTCTCATAAGAGTGGGATGAATCCCCAGCTAGATGTGCCTGTCTCCCTTTATTAGATATAAAAAGAGCATAAACAGCTAACAAACCCAGCTAATATATGGCCTGGAGCAAGTAATTTGAAATGTTAAAACGGAAAGTGTATAGCATTAGTTTACCCACTTGTCTCCTTGGGGACATAACGCAGATATACATTTTTTAAAGCATTCTGAAACTCAAATGCAACCTCAAAAATGAAATTCCCTAAAATACAGTCTCCCTCTCAAGCTTGCTTGGAACAATCTGGGAAGGTACTTTGCAGTTTAATGGTGCATTTTTCTTTGTTGTAGGAGCCAGATATACACTAATTCATTTGGGACATTATTTTTTTTCTTTCTCCTGTTTATTGTTCACTGTATTTGGGGAACCTGGACTGTTACAGTTCCTCCACTTACGAAGCCAGTTTTGCTTGTCACTTCCACCCCAGAGCTTCCAAACTCTGTCAGTGGACCATGTTATAATGATTTTCACTTCGTTAGTCACCTGCACTGTTTATAACTCTCCTCTTTAGTGGTCTCTGGCCTCATTATCAGTTCACATTGGTTCTGGCAACTGACAAGTTGCCAACTGGTTACTTTTGCTCTTTTAAATTATTCATATTGATTACTTTGACAAATGTGACGTACATGTTGGCCTGGAAATGCAGACAAAGCAGAGAGAGGCACAAAACCTCCTTCAGTTTTTATTATAGCGGCTACTCCAAGTTATCTGAAAAGGTATTTTAATATTGCAGACCTTTTTATACACTGCAAGCTTCACGGAACAAAGAATATATATTTCTCTGTGTATAAGGCACCTAATAAATTTTTAAGAATATTTTAGTATTAACAAGAATATCAGGCATAGGTACTAATCATCTCATGTCTTCTTTAATAACATCCTACCCATGCCCATCTCAGCAAATAGGGCTTTTTATTTGTTTGAGCAACCTAACACTTCAGGTTTATCTTTGCCTTCTGGAAAAGAGTTCTCCACTGGTCTATAACACTGTCCTAAAGAATTAGGTTACTTACAGATTTGATTGCCCTTTTATCTACTTCTTGTATTTTGAACAAGCTACCAAGTGAGTATAACTCTGACATGCTAAACTCAGTTCAAGTACTAAAATATTGAGTATTTCCTGAAGATGCTTATATAAAACAAATACAAGGTGAGCAAGATCTGAATTCAATGGATTAAACCTCACTTTAGGATTTTCAGATGCTCGATGCTGTACGTTTTTTTTAAAATCATTAGCTAGCAAGTAACACAGAAGTGCATGTAACTGCTTCCCAGTCTCTCACAGCATTGACTGTCTCTGTTTCCCAGAGCTTTTAATAGCATCAACCTTCCCCCTCATCAAGACTTTTTTTGGAACAGGTCACTTACTTTGTAATACGGTCAATGTTAGCAATTTGCTTCTGGTTCCGGATTATTTCTATAGCTGCCCAAAGATGCTGGATAGCCTTTGTATCTGCCTGTCGCCTCTTCGTTAAGCGTGCCATGACCTGTTTACTTGATCAGCTGCAGCCGATAAATAAAAAAGATACACCAAAAAGTTAATCATGAATTATGAAATGGATTACATGATGATCATATTGCAATAGATATGATTACAAGGAAAAGAATTTAACTTACAGCAATTCAATTTGTATACAGCAAGTTTTCTTATGCTTAAAGAGCAGTAAAAAGCAAAAAGTGCAGCTTACAAGAACCCCTTTCACATCGCATAGTCTACACAGAAGACAAAAGGCGAGCAGTAAAATTTATCAAATCAGCAGCAAACAACTTATCAAAGTGGCTATAGAAAAGTCAGTTCACATCTCAGTTCCCTAAGATTTGGTAAAAAGCACAAGCTGCTCTGGCCTGAAGCTTCCATAGCCTCCTTCATTGCCCAAAACCCTTAAAAAGTGAGTGTGCTTGACTACGTTACACAGAGAAAAAGTTGTACCCACAGTTTATTATACAATATAGTTCTCAGAGTATTACTTTCACATTTTTGTAACTTGCAACTATTTAAGAAATCCATTCTATGAGCAGGAACTAGAAGTATATTTTCATGGATGACAAACATTTAAAAAAATATTCTGGAGCAATTCCATTTGCTGTAACATGCTAAACCCTAACAGGACCAAAGTGCTTCTGATGGCATTTACCCATCTAACCAACCCTGAACAGGAACATAATGAGCATCTGGCTTTGTTTACAAATTTTCCAAAAGCTTGAGGCAATGAGTACAGATAAGCCATAAATCGCCTACAGCTCTACTACAGGCACAGAATCCCTTTTTAAAAGCTTAACGATGCATTCTGATCACTAAATAACTTTCTTCCAGTGCCACCACTTTCTCAATGAAAAAAGTGACTGATTTATGACTGCTACCAAGGTCTGTAATTTATTTTAGAGCTCTGTCCTCAGGATGAACTATGTGGAATGCACGTGGATATTTGTAGCTAGCAGAGTATTAACTTCAGTAACCCAAAATAATATGAAAAATGCAAAACCACTACACCATCTGTGCAATGGTAAAGACGGGAATTTAAGTATTAAAAGTCTCTCTCCTCTCAAATTCACAAAAATTAAGCAGATTTGAGTATTCCATTAGTTGCAGCAATGTAATTTTCAAGTTGATGGGACCTACAGGTACTTGTCAGAGGGCTGTCAAGTTTCAGATATATTAGCTCTGCAATGCTCACTTACTCTACAGGTGTAATGAAATGAAGCACAACTTTCTATTGTTAAGGAGAAGAAATGATTTAACAGCACTATACTTAACATTATGTAGCCCATTAAAAAACAAAAAGAAAAAAAAAGATGATGTGAAGTGATACGTGCACCTCCAGGTGCGTGAGGCACCTCCGGCTACTGGAGATAGGAGGGAAGAGCAGAACAGAGCGGCACTTGTGGAGACACATTGTGGCTACACATCGACCCCACATTTCTGCTTTAGAAATCTCTTCCCGCTGGGACTTAAAGCAAGGGCAACTGGATGGATCTCCCAGAAAAGAAAGGCCAAGAGTACATTTTTGGGGGAAGAATAAGAGGGAATATGACAGACATACGGCTAAGACTGACAGCCAGTAGATAGCATCGCCTGCGAATGGTTCAGAGAAAGAAAGCTTCTATTTGGAATAGTGAGAAAAGACACTGCATCCCCGTGAGCTCCTCTGCATTCATTTCACAAAACATAAGGCCCTTACAAGTAAAAAAGCCCTCCTAATTTGTAAGAGAAACATAAGATTATTTATAGAATTTAATTCTTAAGGAAAATGGACCTGTAAAATACAAAAACAGGTTAGATATTAACACAAAAAAAAATGACAATCTTTACACCCCTATTATATTAGCATAAAACTCCTTTCCTAACACGTAACTGACTGAAAGTGAAATAATTATTTTTGTTCTAGCTCTATAAACTATACGCTTTAAAAGCTGTTAGCTGATACGGAGGTCCGCAGGCCAGACACAGAGCCTCTTACGCAGTATCATGTCCTCATGTGAGGATCAAGGAGGAAACACTCATCCTTCTCAACCCTGCTATCAGTGTGAAACAACAGATCAGTTCTCAGTTTATTCTGTAATGAACAAAGTGGGTCCTGTTATCCCTGCTACTTTAAAAATAACTGTTATTTTTGGCAGCCTGGCATATGGCTGACCGTGTGAGAGCCGCACTCAGCGTGCCTGGCAGAGGGGGAAGGCGGTGGCTTCCTCTCATACCCCTGCGATGCCTGGGCCCAAGGGCCCCAGCACCGGGCAGGGCCCTGGAGAACCCATCTGCTGCCTCAGCGTGGCCCCGCGTCCCTGTTGCACAGCTGAAGGAAAGGCTGACCTTCAGGGCTAAGGACGTCCCTCTCATGTCTCCAGAGCAGCACAAGAAGCCCACGTCCCAGACAGGGAGAGGGAGAATGAAGGACTGCTGTAATTATGAGTTCCTGAAGCCCTGTGGTTGCAGAGCTGCACCTCAGATGGGTGCCAGTGGGCAGAGGAGGGCCTCTCCCTGCAGAGGTCCTATGGGCTCCGTGTTTCCTTTGGAGTGCGCTTCGGGAACACATTTCCCTGCCACCCCTGCCCCATCCTTATCGGTCTTTGCTGGCTTGGAGCACGCAAACACTATGCTCTGTGCAATGGCTAACTCCAACCCACAGCACAAGCGTGCACCTCTGAGGCCCCAGCCACTGCCGGGAGGTCACTCCATGGGACCAGACTGGACATGGTCTGAAGTAACACCCCCAAAATACAGCTGGTGTGGATGCCCACCTGAACTACTCCCTCCTGGCTGGTCCTGCTCCCCACCAGTGCTCACACAGGTACAGCCACGGCTCTTCCCCCTTTCTGTGTGGCACTAAAAGCAGTAAGAATTCCAACACGTGAGACACAGCAATCACGCGTGTTCTGTTCCATTCCTTTTTTTCTTTTTTTTTTTGTAAGGTACAATAATTTTACCAGGTGTTCTGCCTTCAAAAAATACATGCTTTGTTTTGATAGCTTTGGTTTACTATTTGAGGGCACTTTTGTTAAACTCAGGAGTCAACATGCCCCTATTGAAATAGCAGTTCCTATACACCACAGTCCTCAAAATATAAGAATAGATACATTTTTCCAAAAAGCCCAGACCCAATTTACCATTATTTTGTCTTTTAATTGCATGATGTAGAAGAAATATAGAGCCTTTTTGCATTAAAGGAAAAGATTAAAAGATTGTGGCATATTTCTTGCTGTTCATTGCAGTCGCTCTTCCTCCATGGTAAAACTAACCACAACAGTCTATTCCCTGCATTCCTACAAAACTATAAGCAGTTTTCTGCATTATCCTAAAATCTTACAGATAACTTGTATCAGACTGTTAACAAATCATTAAATGCTTTGGAGGGCTACTTCCAAGCAACAGAAAATGCTCCCAGTGCTTCTACATGCACAACTCATTCATGCAGATAACAGTTTAAAACTTAATGGGAGTCATATTAGATTCTTAAATCTGTATTTATCACTCCTGATTATTTGCTTATGTGTGGGTGCACACGCACACAAATGCAGAACAAGCATAAACATCCAGTGCATGCGTGTATGTGTAAGAATCTACGGCTTACAGGTTAAATACCAAAAGAGGATGATTCATCCATGCAGTATTGTAAAGAAGTTAGAACTCCAGAGAACCATTAAAACCACAACACTGAAATGTACATTTACATGTAATGCTTGAAGATGTTTCCCATCCCCCTCTTTCGTTACAGCATTTATTTCAACATCCCAGAAAAAAACCTGAAAAGATGAAGTAAACATTAATTTCCCAGTTGTGATTTGCCAGCCACCATGCTCGTTTAGCTATGGTATCCCCTGTCCATACAAAATTATTTGCTTCATGCCATTTCTGTCACGTTCTGCTTGCAAGTTTATAGAAGGATGTGGCTTCTTGGAGAAAGGTTGGCAAACAAAAGATGGCAAAAATCGAAGAATTTATATCAGCAGGATGTGTCTTAGGTTTGCAGACATCCATGGGACCTGCAGAATATAAAAAGGGTTCTCCTAACAAAGAGAGATTTGTGTGGCTGACATGCCAGCTCACACACTTCCATCACACACTGACTCACACTGGGCCCAAAGAAAATAATTTATCTTCTCAATTTTCAACTCTTAACTGTTCCTCGGTGCAATCTGAGTAAGGTTTTACTACATTTTATATTTTAAATCTCCCTTGAATTTCCTATGTACAGCATTTTGAAAAAAACATACCACTTTATTGTACACAACTTTCCTCGAGAGCTAAATGTTACCCGCATTTCTTACAGGCAGGCTCAACAAACTGCCCTTTATCTTGTGAATACACACAGCATGGCTTATCTTCTCAAAGGCCTTAGCAAAGCATGCATTGCCATGAGGTGGCAATGCTACAGCAATGGCAAAAGACTTACTGTCAAAACAGCAAGGCTACTAGTCGACAGACACACACTTGGCCAAATCAAATGCCGTACAGTGGTCTGTTGCAGTAGAAGTGACTATGGAGACCTGCACTGCAAGTCAAAATAAACAAAAATCACCTTGCAGCATGTCTAGGGATTGAGCCCAAGGAACCTCCTGACCTGCTGCTTACATCCAATTTAGCAGATACTATCAGGTACTAAGTTTAGCTAGAAATTCTCCCTACAGACAGTAACAACTGAAAGGTAGTCAAATCTTGCCATGCGTTAGCTGTTAAATACCATCCTTCAAGGAAAATACAATGCTTCTGAAAATTTAACTAATGAATTGGACTTTGCACTGAAGCAGACGGTGTTGCAGTTGGGTGCTGCTGCTCTGATGGGAGCTGCTAATTAAGAACTGACAAGTAGTAGCTTGTTAAATCTTCTGTTCATACTTCACTGTGAGGCTACCTGTGGCGCTCGTCCCTTTCAGTGCAAAGTCGAACAGGCTAAACTTCATCCCTGCTATTAGCCACCATTTGGCTGAGATTTGGTATGCAGTTAATTGCAATAGAAAGACAGTTTAAGAAGTTGATCCTTGCCACTAC